TTACATACCTGTACAGGCCTACAAAGTGGAGAGATAGGACAGTACGGGATCCAGCAGATCTGATGAGACGAGGCTCTGGCAAAGGAATGTTCCTCTTCGTCAATTCCTCCACCAGAAGTCCCATAGGGTTCAACACAGTCCACATATCGAATAAGTCTTTTCCAATCGTCTGAGTTACCAGGAAGTCCTGAGGAGAAGAGTAATGTCACGTTACAGTGAGACAACAGTAMGGATCTGGGGTGAGCACATTATTTTAAAAGAAATCATTCAGCAAGTGATTTTTGAACTAAAACTCTTACTCTAAGAAAAAATCCAGTTCTCTCTGCTCCACTGCTTTCCTGCAGCGCTCCAACCACTGCCATGAACGTGGAATAGAGCACATCATCGGGAACAGGGAACTCCGCACTCCTGGTAAGGTCCTCAACACCCAGATTTCTTGCGACGTGCACCACAACGTCTGTGCTACTGAGATGCCCCACAATGGCCTCTACGCCTTCAACTGGCAGAACAGGAAAACTTGCCCTGCACCAGTCAGTCAGGAAGTTTTTGGTGAAAGCTGCTCCCTGCTGCCTCAGCTGCACGTTGTCCTGAAGAACTACAGCTGTGGTCTCCAAGTCCACGCCTAATTCCTTCCTCTTGTCCTGCTCCGCCTGCAGGTAACAAGGATTGACGAAGGCCGTTTTGAGTAGCTCTGTGGAAAAGTTTTCTTGGAGGCGGATGCCGAAAGCTCGAACCTCAGCCTGATAATCCCAGTTAGGTTTAACCGACCTGAAACACAATCAAATATTTTCGTCCATTAAAATAGTGAATCATAAGTAGATTGAGAAGATGTTGATTATTTCTAAGTGGTTTTGCTGAAATAAAGTTTAATTTACTTAGTAAAACTAATGCATATACACAGTGCACTATTCATTAATTACTAACTTAAGAAAGTGAAAACACATATCATATTCCATTCTAAAGTGAATAGAAGATGAATAATCACTACTGACTCTTAGATGATAAACAGTAACCGTGCAAAAAATAGCAGTAAAATTATGTTCTTACCAATACCTCTAATTTGGTTGAAAATAATTAACCTTTATTCACTTGTACACTGTGGCCTTGAGAAGCTCGCAGGCTAGCTTTAGCTAGCTGTTAGCCTTACCGCGGCTCCGGAGGAGGAGGTCCTTCAATCTTTAACTTCAACGCCAAATACTGCATGTAATTTTTCATCCATCGTTTCTCCCCTCTAACCTGAGAAAGTGTAACACCTTTATAAACAAGCTGGCGGTGTATTCCAAATGTTAGCACGCCGCGACTGAACATGTAAGACGCCATGTTTTTTTTTGCAGCAGTCGCAGCACTGTGCAGCGGCTAAAAGTCTCCGACGCAGAACAACAAACAACATCCGGTCATTCGAAATGGCCGACCAAGCGTTACCACGGCAACGGAGCCAAACAATTGCAGTTGACTACATTTCTGGTAAGATATACTTAAACCATTCTTCCACTAATTATACATTTTTATTGCCAACTGCAATGGTGACAAACCGAGCGGATTGCTACGTGCTAACTATTTGATTACACACAGCCAATTTCAAAAATTTTGTACAGAAATACTACTTTTTTTTTTTTCCCCAGAGGACAAACCTCACATATACTTACGGAGCAGACTTTTACTAAAAACTATTAGAAACGATGGGGAATCAGTTTGCCTCCTTGCCGTCTGGATATTGCCCACAACAAGCTGAAGTCTGTGTGACATACAACATCTGAGCCAGTGTCAGGCCATCAGTGAGTGCATGTAGATGATCCAGAGATCATCTCTGTACTCGAGGCCGTGCCACATGTGGCAGTATGCCCTGTAGGCTTTGAACGCACAAGTGCCTGCATCTAATTGGTTGTGGCACTGGCTGCCTGTATATAAAGGGCCCTCCCTCCACCTGTGTGACATTTTTGCCTCCCGGTTCCGAGTAACGTGGTTGCGGGTGCTGCACGCTAGCCCCAGGCTAGTGGGTGCATGAAGGGTGAAGGGTGTTTTTGTTTGTRRCCTAGCTTTAACTTAGCTTCTGTTTCAATAGGCTACCAGAATGAGTCTACCTGATTCCTCCTCCTTTAGAGGAGCTACACTTTAGGCTCAGTGGTGAGTGCAATGTTTGTCTTATCAGTCTCTCAATTACCCAAATTWAATTTCTTAATGTTTGTTCTGTACCAGACGCTGCTGTTTGTCCTTTGCCGGTGTAATGCTGGAGGCCCTATTTGTTCACTTCCGGTTTCCTATCTATGCCGTGTGGTTCTTTGGCCGGCTTCTTACCTGTTGCTGTGTTAGACCTTCATCGGCTCCTGCTGGTCGTCATTCGGCCCTGACTGGCTTAGTGACGCTCAGCTCAAGGTGATTCTGTGGGTTCCTCACAGCTSCTGGATGGAACATTAATTCACACCCAAAGTCTACTGCTGCTTGGCTACCTGCTACCGGACTGAGACATCTGAATTTATACCATTTTATATACATACATTTAACATCTTTTAATTGAATGTTGTCTGTTTCTTAATTATTATTTTTTTGTATTTGTGACTGGGCAGTGGCCAGCTCCTGGTGTTGGTGGTGGCCTTTCCGGGTGGTGGTTCTCCTTCTGGTTTGGTGCATGATTTTCTTTTGTTTGCTGTGTTTCTCTTCTTTTTAGGACACTACCCCGAATTTCACTCCTCCCTGAGTTGAGCCAGAACTGACTTTTAATGTGTGAGTGGTTTTAAGCTAGTATTTTTGGAATTAAAACAATGGTGTAATAAATAAACTTATGGAATTGTGAGATTGTCTCAAGCCTCATCTGTAAGCGGGCCTGCATGCCTTAAGGTAACTTTTAAAGTGGAGTCATTATAACCAATTTTATCTTTACTAAAATAGTGCTTTTGAATTTAAGTTGCCAATCATTATCACACTGCTCCCGCCACACACAGCATATGTGCTGAAGCTGATGGGGAAATGAAGTGGTGAGAAAAATCCCAAACTATAGGAGGACGACAATGCAGCTCACTTTCCTTGATCGCCCCGTGTTCCCCAGAGATCGGGCATGTGCAGAGGCGTGGGCCAGGGGAGGCATGGAAGAGGAATACAGAGAAGGTGCAATGGGATACAAGAACGAGCAAGAAAGATAGGCCCCTTGGAGAGTTGCAGGAAACAGGTGAGTATTCAGTTTTTGCGGCAATAAAACAAATGTAAATGCAGCTTTTAACTTTAAAACTACTTTATTTCAKGTGAAACTGGGCTTCACACCACTCCAGGGATCCTTTGTGAAAACAGCATCCAGAGTTTGACTTCCACTCAAGATGAGGTCCAGACCTTTGTGGAGGATAGCCCGGATGAGAAGTCCTCAGAGAGCCCATTGGAACAGGGGGTGGATGAGGATCAGGCAAATGGTGACGATGCAAATGTAGATAAGCTCCAGAGAGAGGAGGATCCATCGCTGATGAAGGAAGTGACAGAAAAGAGACGAGTGAATCTGGAGAAATCTGGCCAAGAACAACCAAATGCAGCGGAACAGATGTTGCAGACAAAGACAAACAAAATGGGTCAAAGATGAAGAAAGAAAACAAGCAGCCTCCTCTGGTCAGGTCTACTCTACTGGTGACAGAACTGGAGGAGGAAGAGCAGCTAACCCTCCCCCTGCAGCGATCACTGCACATCACCGACCTGCCCGATTTAGAGGACATGGACCCAGAAGAGTCCACTTCTCCTCAGCATGTGATCAAACCCAAAAAACAAGTCCTTTCAGGAGGCAGCTGGCATTCAGAGATGCCACCTTCCTTACCCAGGTGAAAACTCTTTTTGAATAAGCCACTCCAACAAATCCTCTGGGCTCGTTAGTACGTCTTCATTCTTAGTGTATCCAGAGGATGAGGAGGCCTTTAACCTGCAACCAAACTCTAAAACAAAGCAAAGTCCCTCCGTACAATCGTGCCTGATAGAAGAACTGGACTGATGCTTTTAGATTTSAGAAACTTTACTGAGGCAACATTAGCCTACTGTTTATTGAGTGTTTTTTTTTGTTAAGATACATACAACTAAGTTTGGCTATGAACTTCAAATGAAAAACATACCGTATATATTTACTGTAGATGTTGAAACTAGAAGCGAGTAAGGGTTTTACCACGTCTATTTCAGTTAGTTAGGAGTTGTGTTTGTTTAGTTAAAGAAACAGCTGAAGTTTGTTTGTTCAGGGTTTTGTCTGTTTAGAACACTTTTTGGTCAACACGAATGTCTGAAATGATCTGCTCAGATTTCTTTAAAAAATTGTCATTCAGTCAAAAGTGTGAAGTAGTGAAGTACAAATTTGTTACTTAAATAGGAATTTTGATTATCTACGTATTTTTTTTTCAACCGACTTTTTACTTCTACTGTTTTTTTGCATCCGTGTTCTACTCCTTACTTTTTATTAAATGTAAATCTTAATTTGTCAAAATAAATATTTTAATATTATAGTTATTAAAAATTTTGTCTTTTTTGGTATGCCACGTTACTACTTAATTACAAAATTATCAAGCCATTTATTTCTTTTATCAAGTCTTTTTAATTATTTCTACATGTATTTCCTATTGTCAGTTTTGGTCCTCCATATTTTGGGAGGTTAGCTTCTTCCAGTAAATGTAATTTTAGTACTTACATTTTATATAACAAATTAACTTTTGATACTGAATTACTGTAAATGTGAGATACGTCAAGACTTTTACTCAAGTAATACTCTTAGAGGAGACTTGAACTGTTACCAAAGTAATTTTATGGTAAAATACTTGAGTAAAAGTACAAGTATCGCATTGAGGTACTTTATACAAGACTGTATTCAGCAGGTCTGATTTGTAAGAGAAAACACTGGAACTGATAAAGATTGAAATATATTGAAAACCTTTTCCTCAAGTGCATTTGTTAGAGATCTTTCATTTCCTGCATGAACAAAAACACAGGACAACACATGACAGGTATGATTTTTTTACTAGGTTTTAATACATTTCCCAACACAAGTTGCATATTTATTCTCCATCTTTAAAATTTCAGTGTTATCAACACAGAGCTCTATTTTTTTTCCCTACGTTGATGAACCAGGCCTTAATTTATCTGTAAATCTTCCAACAGACTTAAGTGCCATAAGCAACTATTTACAAATCTTGTWTAGTGTCATCAACGGGGGTGGGATTGAGATAAAAGCTAAACAAGAGAAAACCAACATGAAGAAATAGGAGTAAAAAAATAAAACTGTACATTTAAACAAAACAAAATCAAAACAAGCCTGAGTGCAGCAGGTCTCGTGCAAGTTCTAGTTTCCCCTTGCACGTCGCAGCGAGTAGCTAACATTTGATACACTGAATAATGAATATTTTCTGTCATGCTAAGGGCAGAAATACACACCCGCTTTAACGCCGCAACCACACCCAAGTGTTGATGAGCCAAAATGCTACGCTGATGGAGTACATGATCATTTCTCGCTTTGCTCGCTCCTTGTTCTCCTCTTCCAAGTGCTGGAGTCGCCGGTTCAACTTGATCAACTATTAAAAAGTAAATAACAAAAGAATTTGACTTAGTCACAATGGCTTTAGCTACTTTAGCGAAAAAGCATTTAAGAACTAACCTGGCGCCTGAGTGTTGTTGCATCAACGACTGTCAGGTCATCAGTTGTCCCTTCCAGAGGAGCTTCGTATGTCGATAACGCAAGCCTAAAAAAAGAGATCAAAAGCGTTTTTTTCCCAATATGATACAGTTAGACACGTTAAACAATGAACACATCATCTTTGCTGAAGGTTTTCACAAGACTACTTAATCTTATTTTGACTGAAAATACACAAAGGATGAAAATTAGGGAGGAGGAAGGGAGCAAGGAGCCAGGTGAAGTTACCTGGAATCAGGCAGGGGGCTGGAACCCAAGGCCGACCCCCCTCGCAGAGATGGTTTGCTGAAGAGGTAAGGAAAGACAGAAGAGAGGCAAAAAGAGAGCTAGAGAAACACTTGAGTTGTGCAGACGCAAAACAAACAGAAACGAGCATGCTCTCTCCATAGCTACACTTTTTTCTGTTGTGTTGGAAACAACGAGGTCAGTATAACAAAAAAGAGCTCTAAACTGGCATGTTTTACACTTTTAAAAACACACAAGTCTAAAGCATTTTTAAAATGACATATTGTAGAAAGAATAAATCCAGACACAGCCTTTTGTTTTTTTATTTAACCTCATGCTAACCTGTTTTTGAGAGGCTGCAAATCTCAGGGGAGGAGCAGGAAGGACGGGCATTTTGAGAACATTTTTGCTCACGAGTATGTATACTGTACATTCTGCAAACACACTCAGATTATTTGTAGCTGTTTTCAGGTGCAGAATGCAGAACTCTGAAGATTTTGAACTTCAAGGAGAAAAACTGCTCTAGTTCACTTCATGGGGTCTTTTTTGTTCCGCTTAAGCACCACAACTGTTTGCGTTCTATTCTAATGGCAACAATTTCCTTTAAAATAGTCATTAGTTGTTTTAAAAGAAATAAAGTAAAAGGTTTGACTCAATAACAAATCAAACCAGTTAGTCAGTTTTCATTATAAAAAAAATTAAAGATAATTGAAAATTGTCTTTAGGATTACTAGGTGTTAAAAATAGGTGTTGGGTGGTGCCAAAGAGCAAAAATTTACACAAATCTTAATAATACAAACATTTAATTAAGCCTGAATTAAATTTGCCAATAGCCTTTTTTGGTCAGTGAAAAAACAGGAGCAATATAAAAGACCAGATGATTGGGAGGTCACCTGCGTGGGTTCTCATCCAAGACCTCCAGGACTTGCTGGTAGGCCCGACGTGTTGTGGACTGGATGAAAGATAGGACACCGCTAGTGCTGCGCAGTTTGTGTTCTTCAGCCACGGTGAGAGAGGGGCGTGGCTGGACAGTGGCTGGGATGTGTGAAGCTGCACTGCTCAGTACCCATCATTAAAGTAATTCAAAGTGGGGGAGGGGAAAGGAGGAAAAAGGCAGAAGAAAAAAGGAAAAGGAATAAGGAAAGGATGCAACCCCCCCCCACCCCCCCCAATCTTTGCTTTTAAAAAACAGGAGCTGAACAAGAGGAAACCTGTCAACCACTTTAAAGCCCTACGGCTAAAGAATGCCACAAATTAAAAACAATCAGCAGCCACGGTAAACCAGAATAAAACATGACTCAGGAAGGAAGACGCTGCTTGCTACTGTGTGGAACCAACACAGGAGCTTCAACAGAGGTGGTACTCAGACATTAGTGACGCGTGTAGATAAAATACTCACGCAGAATCATTGTGAACCACAGTGTTATGACGGAGAGCTGCATTCTCGCTGGCCGAGCGCTCTCGCCGCAAGCGTCCGTGCTGTCGCATCTGTTCAATCAAACAAATCAAAAAAAGTCATATCTAAAAACAACATTCCGTTTCATCTGATTGTGACTTCCTGTTAACCGAAACACGTGGATTTTATGTGTCTCTGTAATAAACAATGTATTGCTTTGTTACGCACYGCCTCCTCGCTGTCTGGTGCTGCACGCTGCTCCTCCTCCATGAAGTCCAGGGGCCGCTCGTTGAGGGTGAGGACTCTGGGAGGCGTTTTAAGCGACAGGGTTTCAAGAGGTGTTGACTGGATAAGGTCCAAGTCTCTGGGCCTGGAGAACTGGGGGTCAGCAGAGTCTCCTGACRAATGAAGGCGTGAATTAGGGTTCAAATGGAAAGTAAAGCATTTTAGATCAACAACATGCAGTACAGACAAACTCAGTGACATAATTGTATGTTTTTATTATGCAGTGAATAAACACGTATGTGTGATTTATTAAGTTTTCACATTTTAGAAGTTCAGCTGACTTTAAAATGGATTGCAAGGGTAAAATGGGCAAAGTATAGATAAAAGATAATTATTATTAAACAATAATTGTGCAAAAATGATGTCTTCACAGTGAGCAGATTTTGTGCATAAACAAAGAAAATGGCAAAGATGCAGCTTTCACATTAATATATATATTTTTTCACAAGCTAACCTGCAATTACTATTCTCTCTGGCACTTGCATGATGACACTGGGATGAGCCACCTGTAGTCCAGCACTGGGCTCATCGTGGGGTTGAGGAGCGACTTTGAGCATCTGTGGGATGCGCATCTTCTGGCTGATCCCCTCAGTGTACTCCAGTTCATAGTGGATACGGTTGATCTCCGCCATCTCCACTGTTGGGGAGGGAAACGCTGCTCCGCTCATTTGGCTGTGTAGACTGGCTTTTAGAGAAAACAAAATGTGTTGTTAGACAGAAAAATGTCCAAAATATGACAAGTCATTGATCTCAAATGCTTTTTTTTAGCTCTAAGACTGCACAACGCATCACAAAACGAAAATCTCTTCTTGAGGGTTGTGATTGGTGTAAAATCCCGTGACACTATCATATGATGTAAATAATGTTCTCGGTTTCTTAGAAGAAGAACAGAGGGCGCACTGACTACACAAGCAATAACATTGATCTTCTGCTGCTTAGCTAAGTTAGTGCTCTCACCAGGCTAACAGCAAACTAGAACAGCTAAAACTAAAATAACAATAGCTATATTAAACAGAAACAAGCGTCCAACAATATACATATATATGTTGAAGTATAACGCTGTACTACATTTATAAAATTAAAACACATAAACAAAGTCGAAAATTGTTTAGCATTATCGCCTTGTTTAGCCAGGCTAGTGGTTAGCAGTTTCTTACCGTCCGGATGAAACGTAAGGCAGCGGTGTCCAAAATATATTTATTTATCAGATCCTGAACAGCATCAAAATCCCCATATAAGCTTTAAAATAAGTGTAAGTGTCAAGAGAAACTCGAGCTGTTAAACATATAACACCGGTATTAATAACCTCCGCTTGTTTCGGTCTGTACTTTACACAGGATGTGTCGTCATCAGCCGGAAGTTCCCTTACCAGGAAACTGCCACTGAAAATAAAAGCTGGAGAAAATGAAATAAAATTGGTCAAATTTTAATTTCAAATTTGAATGTAAAAAAATGTTTCTGCTTTTAGCAGAAATATATTCGCTAAGTTTTAATTACCACCGAAACCTCCTGAAAGCTAAAGGTTAAGACCTCCCACCCATGTCTAATTCTAGTTTTAAAAGTCTTGTACTTATTAGGCTGCGACTTGCCTTTGTTTAGTTTTGCTTTTAATGAAAAAGCTATGCTTTTTTTTCTTTTTCTAAATTTATTTATTTTTTCATCCTGAAGGACGAGGGCTGCTGCTGCTGATGWGATGGCCCCTCAGTCACTGAGGGTGGCGCATGTACACGGAGTGTTTCAGAGCCCCTCCAGCTTCAACCAGCCGTCCGAACAGAAACTCAGGATGAACAGCCTCAGTAACATGTTTAAAATCAGGACTACATGACAAGAGGATGCTCTTGATTTCAACAGAAGCATTATAGTGCTGAGTGCTGACTCTTTAASTCGGTTTTGATTATCAGGAATTATGTTTCCAAATATTTTAATTTTGTGCGTGCAGATATTCAGCACTGTGCACATCGTGTCATCTCTGGACCTGCAGCTTGGCATGTAAGTTATTAAGACTTAAACTGTTTCTGTCTTATTGTGCTTCACTTTCTTGTAAGGTTTAAATGAAAGCTTTGCATTGATTTTTTTTTAATAAATCAAAACCATATTTGAATAAAATTCTACAAAAAAGCTGCATGGCCATAAAAATAGAATAATTTAAATTACGCTTTATTTTATTTTATTTCATTTTATTTTACTTTATTGTCCTCTATGCGTTACTTTCTTCAGTGTCCACTAGGAGTCTCTCTTTCTGAACCTACATTTACTTAAACTTTTATGACAACTGAATAAATTAGGTGTATTATATTTTGTGGACAGCTATAGCATAGGCTTTTGAATTCAAATAGAKTTTTCTGCACATTAAAGTGGGGATCGTTTTCATTACCAGAGAAGAAGAATACTTCCTCTAATTAACTCCAAGCTGTATTGAAACCAGATGGTTGCCTGAGGATGACATTTTACCTGCAATGGAAACACAAATAAGATGCAGTGGTGTACACTTCAGACTTATAGCCCCTTTAAACAAGTATTTTCATTCATCAAAYGCCCCTTATTGTTGCATGGATTGTTTTATAGGCAATATACCTGCAATCAGGATGCTCTTGATTTCACAAACGCATATCGTATCTTCATATCTCAGGCCAACATTGTAAATAAGAAACTGTTCTTCATGTTTTGCCTGGTGAAATAAAGGTTAAATAAAATAAATAAAGTATAGAACCTGATGTTCAGATTCACATGAACATATTAACTATTTGTTATTTGCTGTTTGTCCATTGCTCCTTTAATGCTATACATGAGAACACGATGCTGTCAAGTCCTTCATCAGGCTCAGTATGAATTAAAATAAAAAGGAATCGCTCAGTCTTAGATTTAAAAGTCCTCATAAAAGTCATGTTTTATTAACTCRCCGCTGGACAGATTGCACAAGTCTTTCCCCTGTGTTTCTCATCCACAGGCCAAATGTTTGCGCTGACAAGGAGATGTCAGTGTTTGGGGTCCGTCGGCCATGCATTCGGGCTTTCACGCGCATGGTGAAGGTGTGGAAGCAAGGCTGCCCGACCCATAGATGGTGTATGGGCTTTGAAAGAAGGTAAGAAGGAGCTTGTCTTTGATACTGCACTCTCACAGTTAGGAAAACAAGATAAAACATTTTGAACGACCAGCTATAGACAGCTATAGGTTTATAATAATGTAGTAATACATCTTTAGTCTCAGCCAATGACACATTGGCTCTTTTTTCCATCCAAAGTCTTACATCAACAGATATCACTTTAACATAAAAGTGAAACWGTAAAAAACTGCTAACTGGTAATACTGATATAAAAACACTTCAGGCAGATGTCCTCTCATAATGACCAGTAGAGGCAATTTGGAGCTATCTGAGATGCTCAAACAATTGTTCTTTAAAACAAGTGTATCTTTTAATGACACAAGGAAAATACCTCAATTACTCTGCAAATATGATCTTGTAATTCAGTTCCCTAAAAGTTAACATTGTTTCTTACACAGGACTTCATACTACACAACATACAGACAGGTGTACAACATGGACTCCCACACAGTCTATAAATGCTGCCACGGCTGGACCCATAAAGATGATGAGGTGGGCTGTCTACACCGTGAGTATAGAAGTGTTTTACTTCCATAATTTAAATGTCAGATTGGCATTAGTTTGAAATTGTTAACAAAATAGAAATTTTCAGTCTAGATTAAGACAAATGTATTATTTATAAAACTGCTGTAATGAGGACAAACACAAATACCTGAGCAACATCATATCTGATGTGTAACATCTGTAGGAGAGTGCAAGGCCAGCACTTGCCTTAATGGTGGGAGATGTGCGGAGWGCGGGGATCTTATTTGTCACTGTCCAGGGGGCTTCAAAGGAATTCATTGCCAGTACGGTAAGTTTTTATTTTTATTTTTGTTTGACAAAAACGAAATTCTCAAATTACTGATCTGACTGTTCATAACTCAACAGTTAAAGTTGGCTACGACTCGTGACGATGTGAGCTTTTATAAATAAAGTCGGCATTGTGGCTCCATAGAAGACGTGCCAATAATACATGTGCTGCACATCACCTGTTCTGGCTGGTCGTGCAGACTTTCTATCATTGCTACTGTACATCTCACCATCATGCTGCAACACACATACACATATCAACCATTTCAACTTGGTGACTACCTCTTTTAGTTTTAAACTACAATCATATTTTGTCAAAAACAGATGGAGTTAGTGTCATTTGGCCAATCCTTGTGTGATATTAGACACTGTTTGTAGATCGTATGCTCAGTGTATACTGTAAATGACTTTCAGTTACTTCTACATCATATTTTGGTTAAAATTGGTAAAGTTGACTGAGTTATAGTCATTTATGTGATGGYTAAGGACAATTATTTGTGATGGCAATACCTCACTCCAAAACCTCATGAGCACTTTTTAGATAAAAAATGATAAAAAAMAAACAAACATGCTTTACTCGGTAATGATTTATTGAAATAACTTTACTTTTGGATTGTTGCTCGGAGTATGTATTGGGGATGACTCAGCACCACCATTGTGCAAAATTTTAGCTCAATGTCTGTAAAAAAACTTGATTGTAGCTGTTTTTGTGTTTGCAAAGTTTGATTATCTGTAGTGACTACTGTGTTGACTCTAAAAGTTAGTCATTTGCAGATATGTGTCTTAAGAATATGCTCTGATCATTTCATTCAAATCTTTCCTGTGGTTCCTACAATATTTTGGTAAAATGCTGACCTATAAACTCATAAATTTTCCCATTACTCTCATCACTATCCTACCACGCTAACTCAGCAGATCTATGTCAAACACAAAAATAAGGGGTAGCTGTTCCATTTTAAGAAACTCTTTGAGAGACAAAACAGTGTGCAGAGCGTTTTGGTCTCAGCCCTGCTCATAAACAGGCAAACACACACTTTAATGCTCTTCCTGTCCTGATTCCTTTCCAAGAGGGGAAAGAGTTGTCAGGGGGTTTGAACAGCTCTGCTCCTGTTTCTTTCTTTCTATTTTTTTTTATACAGAGATGTTTTATGTTTGTTTGAGGTAGCTCTTGTATTTGTTTTGACACATTAGGAACAGAAATATTAAACCTAATCAGAAAATCCCCGCCTCCCCCATTTTTTGGGCTTCAGGTTCTCCATGGGAACTCACATGTTGCTTCCCTCCTTTTGTAAAACACTTTACATTCTCCGGTGTCCCGAGACAGATTTATCCACTCTCTTCTGTCAAACTCATTATACAGAGTCAAGCCAAGCTCCTGCGTTCAGCCAGGTTTTTCTACTGAACCTTGAAACAGGGGTAAATACACACACCAGTAACTGGACTTTAAGAAGCAGAGTCATTTCTAACAATTAATGTTTTCTTCTTAACGTCAAGATTATCTTCTTTAGAAATTGGTACAAGCTTCAGATTTCTCTGTATAAAAACAATATAAAATAGTTGCAGACCCAGAACTTTTGGGAAATTTAGACATCTTATCCATGTGATATACAGTATGCATTGAAAACTCTATAAAAAACTCTATAGTAATTAGCATTTTCCTAAGTGTGAAAATAACTTTTTTTTTCTAGGAAAGCAAACATTTAGAATAATTTGAGAAGATGTCAAACAAATGTTTTCCTAACATACAATAGAACAATGTTATTTCTCAAAGACTCCAACAAAAACATGATTGCAGCAATAAAATTAGATTAATATTTGTCCCGTTGCTATGAATTATAGCAACTACTAACATTATTCACAAGATGTAGCTTCAGAGTAACAGAGTGCAGTGCAGTGGGCAATAGAAATCTCCCCTTATTACCAAGAGAGCCTTGGAAATGTGGAAGTCTCTGTTTGTGTTGTAAGCTTTTACATTCCTCAGTTGACAGACTTATTGCTGCTCCGGTTCACTAATGATGGAGGAAAAGCAGATACAGTAAATAACCAAGAATGTTGACCTCTGCTGATTTATTTTAATATAATAAATAAAACTAATTATCTTCTTCTCTCCTCATAAAGGATTTATCAGATTTATTTTGTGGTGTTTCCTTTTTTCTTTTTTTTTTTTTTTTTTTTTTGTGGTGTTTCCAGTATTTTTAACATCCTTTCCTAACTGCATGTTTTGTCTGGCTAGATCCATATATGCAGCAAGAATATATAGTCCTTCAAATTCTCTGTTAAATACTGGTGTCTAATGAATGTAGGTTGTTTAATGGCTTAGGAAATGTGTTCTATTTTATTGTGGATGTTTTTTTTCCTGGCTAGATCATTTTGAAGTTGCTGCTWAAGTCTACAGGCAGAGTTATCTGTGCTTGTTTTTTGCGTGTTCTGATCATCCAGCTGTAGATAAGGAGGTAAAATGTTTTGGCGATTTGATTCCCCAAACATTCATAAATGGAAACAGAAACATCTTGTGGGGTTGATGTGCAGCAGTTTTGTCCGTCCGTTTTCTTCTGCTTATCCGGGGTTGGGTTGCAGGGGCAGCAGCCTAAGCAGAGAGACCCAGACTTCCCTCTCCCCAGCCACTTGGGCCAGCTCGTCCGGGGGGATCCCAAGGCGTGATCCTAAGGTGTTCCCAGGCCAGCTGAGAAACATAGTCCCCCTAGTGTGTCCTGGGTCTTCCTCTGGGCCTCCTCCCTGTGGGACATGCCCGGAACACCTCACCAGGGAGGCGTCCAGGAGGCATCCTAAATCTCCTTCTTTTTCTTCTATTAAAAAAGATCATAATAATGG